TAAATGAGAGAGCAGCGCGGTGCTCTCCGCGGTCCCAGGAACGCCAGCTTTAAACCCAAATCGAAATCACAGTCACGCAGTCACCAGCCCGATGGACAACTTCTCCACCCCGAACGTCACGTTCGCACTACTCGAGAAAGCCTCGGTGCCGAGCGCGATGTGGCCCATGTACAGCGACGGGGAGAAGGTGATGCCGCCCGGGAGGGGGAGGGAGGAGAGGCGCGCGAGCAGCGGGAGGATGTCCCCGGTGAAGGTGGGGATGTTGTCCGTCACGGCCCAGGTGAGGACGGTTTGGTTTTGGGAGTTGGAGCCGGTGTAGAGGGAGCTGGTGGTGGGGGTTAGCGAGGGAGGAAGTGGATAGGCAGGGGGGGGGAGTAAGGAAATAAGGAAATAAGGAAATAAGAAAGTAAGAAAGTAAGAAAGTAAGAAAGTAAGAAAGTAAGAAAATAAGCAAGTAAGAAAGAAAGAAAGTCACTCAGTAACTCACAACTCGGTCCCATTCACAACCTGCGTGTCGACCACGCCGGCCGCCAGCCCGATGGGCTCCGACCCCGCCCCGAAGCGCGCCAGCCACACCATGACCTCGTACTGGGCCGAGGTGCTGTCCTCGGAGCCGGCGCGGTCGGCGTCGAGGAACATGTCAAAGGCGACGTTGGTGTTGGCCAGGGCCGCCGTCAGGGCCGCGACGTCGGTCGTGGCCGCGGGGGCGTCGCCGACGCTGTAGGTCCAGGCCACGTCGAGGGCGAGGGAGGTGATGCGGTTGATGGGGAGGGGGAGCCCTTTCTTGTAGATCTGGGCGTTGGGGAAGGCGTGAACAGGCTGCGTCGCGGGTCCGGGGGGGTATTGCCAGGTGATGAAGAAGGGGGGCGCGGTGGTGTCGGTGGCGTAGGAGCCGTTGTTGTTGGCGTTGACCTGGGGGGTCGTCAGTGGGGGTAGTGGTGGTGGGTTATGAACCTCGGGGTATCCATGTGTATGTGTATATATATATATGTATATATGTATATATGCATACATATATACATATATATATATGTGTGTGTGTGTGTGTAGATATATACATATACATATACATATATACATGTACATATATATACACAACATATGGATGTCAACAGGAAGGTCGCGGTAGAGGGTACCCACATTCAAACACAACCCACCCGGCGTGCCTTCGGTCCATCCCCACGCGTTCGTACTCACTGCAGCGCAACGAACATGTCAGCCTGGATCTCAAGTATCACCACACGAATCTGAAGGGACCAATCCATCCGTCCACGCATCCATCTCAGCGACATCCGGATCTGGTTCGGCGCGCCGACCGCCAGCCCGCTCGAGCGCTTTCGTTCACTTACACATATACTGCGTCCCCTTCGACGGCGGGATGACGGTGGCGTACTGCTCGCAGTGCCGCTCGTTGGTCACCTTGTCGTTGTCGGGATACACCGTCTCTCCTCCCCCTCCTCCTCCGCCGGCGCCGGCGATGGGGTCCTCGATATTCCCTTCGAAGAGCGTCGCCTGGCCCTGCGAGCGTTTGATGGAGTCGACGCCGATGAGGACGCCGGTGGTGACTCCGACCGGGATGCCGAGGAGGACGGCGTTCACGATCCATCGGATTCCCATGGCGAAGGAGGGGAGGTGGAAGGTTGTGGGATGCGCGAGTGTGCGATGTGGGAGTGGGAGTGGGAGCGGTGGTGGTGGTGGTGGTGGTGGTGGTGGTGGTAGTGTGGTATGGTGTGGTGTTGGTGGTGGGGGTGGTCGTGAGAGAGAGCGACGGGAGGGGGGAGGAGACGAAAGGGACGTGATTCAGTTTGGCCGACAGTTTGTTGAGTTGGTGCAGAACTGTACGGTCGCAACGGGAGAGAAGAGAAAGGTAGTTCGACCTAGGTTAGGAGGTTAGGAGGTTAGGACGTTAGAAAGTTAGAGGAATGGGGGCGTGGGGGCTTGGGGGCTTGGGCTTGGGCAGGGCAGGGCAGGGCAGGGCAGGGCAGGGCAGGGCAGGGCAGAGCCGACTCTGCCTTCAAATGAACCCTTTGCTGCTACAGTACCGTACCGTGCCTACCTACTCATTTCTCGGGACTCCACGCAGGCATCCCACCGCACACCTGATTTACCGGTACCAGATCCTCCCCTTTACTGTACTGTACTTATCACCGGTACTCCCTACAGTATCCCTCTCCTTGCACGAAGAGATATCGACAGACCCATTCGACCCGCGTTTCCCGGAGAACGGCAGCTCCTGGATGCAAGGCCAAGAGAGAGCCTTGTCAATCCAGCTGCACAGACCGACCGACTACCTCCTGTACAGTATCAGTACCACTTGCTTCAGGAGACTTTCCCAGGCTACAGAAATATACTACTAGTTGTACGGTCAGCACGGTCAGTACGGTCAGTACGGTCAGTACGGTACAGTCAGAAGGACTAGTAACATGTATTCTGTCATTCGCTGACCTCTCGGAGCCGCCCACTTTATCATACTTTCTGGCCGGCGTCGGCGTGGACCCCATCCCCTAAAAATAGGACAGCGTGATACGGTCCTAGTCCTATACGTAGTACTATACTTCTAAGTGCGTACCGTAGTACTGTCCTGTAGGAGTGACTAAAGTTCACTCGGCCTCAGTGTCCTCCGTGAGTACGCCCGCCTGGTGCAAGGGGTAATACCTACAGTACAGTAGGGACACAGTAGGGACAGTAGGGACAGACCAGCCGAAAAAGGATACGTTTGCAAGCGACTAGGTTTCTGAGTCGGTAGGTGATGGGACAACAATCGATCCATCTCCCATCTCCCCATGCGAGGGGGACGAGTAAACAAACAAACAAACAAACAAACAAACAAACAAACAAACAAACAAACCAAACAAACAATCCAAACAATCAAACCCGACAATCAAATCAAATCAAACCAGACAATCAAATCACCCCAACAAACAGAGCAATCAACCAACAGACCGACAAATAGCATTCAGCGTCCCCGGATATAGATATGCATAATATAGACTTGCCGGTGGCATCCGAGCAGAGAGAAAAAAAAAGTCTCTCGCCCTCGCCCTTGCCCTCGCCCTGGCCCTGGCCCTTGCCTCTACGTCCATCGCTGTCGTCTACGTATAGTACGGTACGTACTAGTACTACTACGTTGTGCAATTGAGTTGGCAGGGCTTGGAGCCAGTCAGGAACCACCCGCTCGACCATTTATGGACCTGAGCTGGGTCCGAACATTGAGACGGTAATCGCTTGCGTATCCTCGGTCTGTTGGCGCCGAGACGCCGACGACTAGGGGGATCCGGTCCCAAGAAAATGCAATGTGTAAAGGGGTAGGTATGCTACTGGATAGTAGTACTAGGTACGGTACTACTACTACTTAATACTACTAGTAGTGCTACAGTAGTGAACCCGTTCGACTATCCGCTTGACACCGACGCTGGACGTAAAGAACTTCTCCATCTATTCATCGATCCATCTATCCATCTATCCAACTAGCTAGCCCTCACTCTTCATCTTCTTCATCTACCTTCATTTGCAACGATGGGATTCCCCCCCGTTCCCACTCATCTCTCACCTGTCCGTTCCCCTTCCGTCCTCTTTCCATTACCCCTTTTCCCCCTGTCCTTTCCCTTCCTCCCTCCCCTTTTCTACTCCTATGTACGTAGTACTTACTACTACCACGTACTAGTAGTACTACTACTTTGCTCTCTCCCAAGTATCCCCCCGGTCAGTATACCTCCACACCAAGCGCTTAGCCTCTCGCCCCCTTTCCATTCCCCAGTGCCCATCATTCCTCATT